CGGTCTTCGGTAGTTCGGTCCGGTTCGTCGCCTGAACCGGGGTGATGTTTAAAATCACGTCGGTTCAATGATTATCTTCCTCTTAATGTGACGTTTGGAGTCTCTTAATGCAGGTTTACCGATCCGGATGATAACAGCAGTGCTTGGCCAAATTGCATACTAATATGTCCCTCCGGAATATGAGGTTGAGTAAAGTTACTGTACTCGACGGGGCACTAGACCTCATCCTGTCGGGTTGTTTGGGCCTCTGCTCGTTGAGGATGGATTACTGTGAGTTTCGTGATTCGAAATTGCTTATCCGTAGACCCAACCTTCGACTGGAGCATCTCAACATCCCAACCTTCGACTGGAGCATCTCAACATCGAGGAGTGCGGAGGGGTGCAAGAGATCAAGCTTTGTGCCGACAATCTCGTTACGTTTGAGTTACAGAGCCAAAGTAAAGTAGTCGAGCTCGTATTCGAGCATGTCCCTCGGCTGCAGAGCATGTATTATGATGTCTTTCGGCAAGACGTTATCTATCTTTTTTGTGTTATACTTCCCACAGTGGCGGAGCCACCAGTATGGCGAGGCATGGCGGCCGCCATACCTGGCCTCCGACGAACACCCCCCCACCCCCCAGTTCTTTTTGTATTTTTTGATATTTTTTGTATTTTTTCTGAAAACAATAGAATTACTGTAAATATAATTCTGCCATTTTTGAATAATAAGAATTTGAGAAGGGATAGAGAGAGAGAAAAGGAGGAAGATGGTGAGAAGAGAGAAAAAAGTAAGTGATTGTAACAGCTTACCTAATTTCCTTCAATCCCATGTGGGGTAAATATAATTTGTTTACAATTTTTCCTCACTCATTTCCCAACGTACCCTTGCTAGAAAATCTGAACATAATAAAAATGAAATGGGCTGATTAACCCAAAATGCTAAAATGCAGAAACCCAACATATTACCTAACTCTAAGTAAAACCCAATATTTGAGTTTAAATAACAAAAGTCCTACAACCCAAATTAAATAACAAAAAATCTTTTTTTCTTGTCTTAACTTCAGCTTTTGGCCATAATCCTAATTCCCAATTGCTTCGTCTTTTTAACCTTCTGCGACCCACATTTCTGCTGCAATTTTGCTCAAGATCCCTTCTTTCATGGTCAAGTCCTCATCTTTTTTCCGTTTTTCATCCTTCTCACCATGATCCTCCACTTTATCGATCGATCTGAATTCTCTCGACTCTCTTTCTCTTGAACCGCTCTCGCCGACGCCGACGCCCGCCGACAGTACTGCTCCATCCGCTCGCCGCTCGCCGACTCTCTTTCGCCATACGTAGATTTTAATCCTTGCTCCGCCACTGACTTCCCACTGAATTGCCTACCAATCGGCTCGAGTCGTTAGCTTTGGTTAGCAAATGTGATACCAACAAATATGTTATTCATTGGGTACGATCTATCGAGAATAAAAACAACTTCTCTTCAAAATATATAAGATAAATATTTGCAGATCTTAACTTGGGATTCTTGATTCTCAGGTTATCAAGCTTGGTCGGACTAACACGAATAGTAACCTTAGACAGTTAAGGTTGCGGTTTTCTCATACAGCCTACACGACTATGCTTGTGGTGATAATTCCAATCCTGCGGAGTTGCCCGCTCTTACTCGAGTTTCACTTGGATGTAAGTTTTGTAACACAACAATCTTGTGGACATCTAAAAGAGGGGTGTTAATGTAATATATTAGAAACATTAGCAACAAACTATATATGTTCCTTTATGCAGACTGAATCTGTGGAAAGTGATGGCCCTGAAGCAATGAGACCAGAGACAGCAGAAACTCATTCACAGTTGAAAAAAGTGGAAATAACAGGATTTTGTGGATCAAGAAACGAAATCGAGTTTGCGCTGTACGTACTCGAAAATACAAGCTGTCTGGAGCAAATGCAGATAAGCCGGTGTCCCAAGTGGCACTCTGACACTGGGTTTGACAAGCCTCGGTGGAGTCAACAGACACGGGAAAGCATGTGCCGACAGTTGCAAGGCCGAGCTCTTTCGGGGACCACACGAGTAATTATTCGGCATTTTCCTGCGTACGATGACACTTGGTCGACACGTGAGACCGATTATGATGGTCATTGTATTTGTTGAAAGGTTAACTTACCAAGAATCCTAGTGGCGAGCTAGTCTAGCTTATAGTTGTTGAGATGTTTTGTAGAGAGGTTGATCACATGTTGCTTTTATCTTTTTTATTGCTTTGTTTTGTACTGCATGGGAACAATTTTTTTTCTCTTTTCTTTTGTTTTCCCTTTGGCAGCTGGAAGTCGCTTTTGTTACTTACAAAAGCGTGTCTTGGTTTATCTTTTAGCTGGTACTCTTATTAGGTGACGTGTCCGATTGTAAGTGGTCATTATGGCTTCTTAGCTCGGTCCTTTATATTGTGCTTCTTCTTCATGTTTTGTAAGACGATTTGGTTACAGAAACTATCAGAGAAAATTTGCCCCAAAATATTTTGAGTTTTTCATCTTTACATGGTACCAGAGCAGGCTAAACAATGGCGCGCCATGAAGAAACAACTACCGTTGCCAGATACACGCGCGATTCAGATCCACTACTATTTTTGAGCTCGGATAATCCAGGAATGGTGCTAGTAAGCTTCCCGCTCATCGGATCTAATTACCTTCATTGGAGCCGCGCGATAAGGTTAGCGCTCGGAGCTAAGTCGAAACTAGGTTTTATATATGGTACAGTTGCTGTTCCTGATTCAGATTCAGAAGATTATCAACAATATCAAAAAGTTGAATTCATGGTGATTTCATGGCTTTTAAATTCAATCTCGAAGGAAATTGTTCAAGCTTTTATGTATGTTAAGTCTGCAAAGCAGCTATGGGATGAGCTTGCTGAGAGATATGGAGAATGCAATGGTCCTCTCCGATATCAGCTTAGAAAAGAGATTTCGAACTTTGCACAAGGTAATCTCTCAGTCACAAGCTACTATACCAAACTGAAGTGCCTTTGGGACGAGTATGCGTGCATAGTAGCTTTACCTGAATGTAATTGTGGTGCTGAAAAGGCTTACAGTGATCATGATTCAGAAACTAAACTCATGCAATTCCTCATGGGATTGAATGATGTATTTGAGCCGGTGAAGAACCAAATATTGCTCATGGAGCCCTTTCCTACCATAAATAGGGCATACTCTATGATTCTCAAGGTAGAGAAACAGAAAACTGTTAACAACCAAGTGCAAGAAGGATTAGATAGCTCAATTATGTTGGCAAAAGGAGCATATGGAAGGGGAGGTGCTCATATGGGAAACTTTGGTAGAGGAAATGCAAGCATGGGAAATTTTGGAAGAGGAAATGCAGGCATGGGAAACTTTGGGAGAGGTGGTTTTGGTCAAAATAATAACAATGGAGGTAGAGGAAGAGGTCAACTCAGACTCTCTAAGGAGGAGAGGGCAAAATTATACTGTGAACACTGTGGATACAATGGACATGAGATTCAAGGATGTTTTAAATTGAATGGCTATCCTGAGTGGTATAAGGTGTTCAAAAATAAAAAATCTGGGCAGCTTGCAAACATGGTGGAAGAACAGAATGTAAATGCAAAATCAGCTGAAACTGAGAGTGAGAAACAACATTCTGTTGGACCTTTTGGTGATATTAGCTCATTGTTACAGAAGGAGATTGCAAAGTATATGGCCAATCAACAAACAACAGACTCATCTTCTTATTCTTATCATTCAGACTTCTCAGGTAACAACAACCACTTTGGTTTCTCTCTGATGGATAACATAGAGGAAAATAGTTGGATTGTGGATAGTGGAGCCAGTAGGCATATTTGTTGCAACTCTGGGCTGGTTGAAAGTTTCAGTACAGTCAGCATGCCTATAACAGTGAATTTGCCTAATGGAGCTAAAATTAAGGTGACAAAAGCAGGTGATGCCAAACTAAATGATAAGCTCATCTTAAGAAATGTGTTGATAATACCTGAATTTAGATACAATCTACTGTCCATTGGACAACTGACAGAAGAGAAAGGTATGACATGTACCTTTAACAAGGACAGTTTTCAGTTGAGGGATTCTGAAAGCAAAGAGCTATTAGCAGAAGGAACAGCTCATGGAGGGTTGTATATTATAAGAGGGAAAAGGTGTTTAATCAATCAAATTAAGGACAACTCTGAGAATCAAGAGCTAGAACTTTGGCACAAGAGGTTGGGACATAGTTCCATATCATATATGAAACACATTGGTTTTCTGAAGGGATTTTGCAGGGAGCAGAAGATCAAACCTTGTGACATATGCCATAGGGCAAAACAAAGCAGGTTGCCTTTCCAACTCAGCACAACCAAGGCTGGGAGTATGTTTGATTTGCTGCATATTGACATATGGGGTCCTTGCCATGATGATTCTATCTCAAATGTATCATACATGCTGACTATAGTGGATGACTTGACAAAACACACTTGGATATTTCTCATGAAGTATAAGTCTGAAACTTATCTGAAGTTGAAATATTTTGTTAAATATGTCAAGGTGCAGTTTGAGAGATGTATAAAGCAGATAAGGACAGACAATGGCTCAGAATTCTTAGGACATGAGGTACAAGGTTTGTTCAAGGAAAAGGGAATTCTACACCAGAGAACTTGTCCATACACTCCACAACAAAATGGAGTGGTGGAAATAAGGCACAGAACCATCTTGGAAATTGCTAGATCCTTGTTATTTCAGTCAAACCTTGAAAAGAAGTTTTGGCCCTACACTTTGTTATTTGCAGTACACATCCTGAATTCTCTACCCAGTGAGAGATTGAGGTGGAAAACACTGTTGTAGCAAATTTTATTTATATTTTCCGAGCACCGAATCAAAAATTCGTTTCTCGAGTCGATCACAAGGAAGGTTTAGCCGGATTAAATTATGCGTTTAGTCGATTACGGAAAATAATGAATTAAAGACCTAAACACTCTAATCAATTTTAAGGTTCTTACTTGATTATCTATTATGATTTACTAATGAATGATAAAAAGATAGATGAAATCGTAAAGAAATTTTATAGAAGAGTTAGGGTATCGGGGAATAATTGTTATCAATTCTAATGATAATTCCAAGTTATTAATTGTTCGATTAAGTGATTCGATTAACATACTAATTTAGAAGTTTATATTCAATAACTTTTCGTAACATGAATATAAACATAAATTAGTATATTTTCGTACCAAATAATACATAAGCAATACAATTACGAACATGCTTAGTCGTTTCGAGCCGAGATCGACTAACTTCGCCCCTCTCGGTTTTAAAGTTAATTAAGTAGGTTTAGAAGATTTTTAATCAACTGAACCATAAAAATAAATATAACTCGAAACGATACGAACAATCAACAACAATTCATTAACATCAAACCGAAACAATCATTCCCCTCTCCCTAACAAGATTGTTTAGTTACTCATGATAATAAAAACCAAAACCTCAATACTAACCCAAGCCATCATCATTCTTAAGAAAAGATAATGAAGACTTACGATTATTATTAAAGGGTTAATACACCACGAGAACTTAAACCGGAAGAGATACAAATCTTACACTCTTCATTTATGAACATGCATGAAGATAAACTTCAAGAAGAACAAGACACAAGAAGAACATAATGAAAGTTTAAGAGATTTTGTGAAAAAAAATGATGATTTTCAAGCTTGGAGTTGTCCCCCTTTTATAGCCAAATAATCCTCTTTTGTAGCTGAAGATTTGTAGCAATAATAGCATGATATTACCCCTTTTTGTTTTCTTCTACGTCATTGATGATATTTGGCACCAACCATCACTAAAATGAGCTTAAAAAGTTCACCAGCTGCAGAAACAGGGGTAGTAGCGCCGCTACTAGGGTAGTAGCGCCGCTACTATGCCGACAGAGGAAAGGTTGCCCTTGGCGCTACTTAGTTACCGCCGCTACTGTGTCGGCAGCTTGCATGTCTTCACGGTTTTCGCTCCTTCGGGCTCGTTTGGACTCGGAATTGAGTTCCGTTTTTTCCTACGCGTAGCTAACGAACCCTCCTATCCAATGATGCTTGTAACCCACACTTTTGCCCAGAATACGAATTTTGTGGAATTTTCAACCTTTACAGGGTCGGTAACTTGCTCAGCTTTACATTTCAGCCCCGTTTGGATTCATCCGAACTCGAAATCGAATTCCGCTTTTTCTCACTTGTCGCTAACTAACTTATCTAGTTAGTTGTTTTTGAATGATCGAATTCCAAGCTTAATCCAATCCTCGCGGGGTTTTTGACCTGCACAACAAAAAAAAAAAGAAGAAAACAGGAAAAATACCGGAAAACGAAATAAAAACACCAAAATGCTTACAAACACATAAAACACACATAAAACAATAAAAAGACTTTAAAACCAAATAAAAGACTCAAATTGGGGGAAAAAAATAAGAAAATAAACACAAAGAAACGTAACAAAAATAGGACAAACAACTCCCCCACACTTAAACCTTTGTTTGTCCCGAACAAAAAGAAAAGAAGAAAACGAAAAAGAAAACAAGCAAATGAGCATGGATAATAGCTTCAGACAAGATAAGTTTCAAATTAATCAACTTAGTCGAGGAGACTT